CTATTACTCTTTTATCATCTATGCATTCTTTCTCCTCCGTTCTCACATTCACTTCCAAGGGAGATTTTCTCTTTAAATATTTTTTTTTGGAGGTAATTTCCCAGTTTTGGATTTGGGGGTAAGAAAGGGAGGTACTTTTAAAGGGAAGATCTGGAACTCTTTAAGAAGGTTGGGAATAGAGAGGATATAACGGGATAGTAAAATATGGAAACAAGGATAGGAGTTTGTATCATGCCCAAAAAACTGAGCAAACCTCATGTACAAGAACTAATTAAAAGAATTAAAGAAAGATACAAAATAAAGATATTCAATAAGAAGAGAATAACTGGAGAGAGGATAGAAGAATGGGAAAAGGTTGATATTTTAATATCATTTTACCATACCGAACTACCATTAAAGAAGATATTAGACTATACTTTACTCAACGCTATATACTCCCCCAATGATCTATTATGCAATATTCCATTCTGGATAGAAGGATTGTGGTTAAAATTTTGGATTCCTTAAATGTTAAAGTGGTTCCCTATTTTATTGTAAATAGAGATGTACCTTATCTCCCTTACAACCTTAAAAGATATCTAGAGTTGCGATTCAATATAAAGCTGGATTTTGAGTGTATCTTTCTTGATAGATGGGGTAGGAGTAGAGGGAACGGCAAGAAAGATACAATCTCATCTTTAGAAAATTTAAAGAAATGCATAAATGAGGAAAGCATGAATAAAAGGACTTTAGAAGACGTGGAGATAAATGTGAAAACTCTGAAAGAGAGAGATTTTACCTCGGAAGATAGATTTGGAGTGCATGAACCATCTCTTGTGATAGAAGAACATGAAGATTTTATAAAAATTAACGGTAAAGTCTTAGAAAAGCCTTTTGTAGAAAAACCATCAGACTCGGAAAATCACTACATTTACATTTACTACAAAGGAGGTGGTGTGAGAAAACTTTTTAGGAAAATAAATAATATTTCCAGTGAGATGGATTATACCATAAAAGGTATCAGAAAGGTTGGATCTTTTATTTATGAAGAGTTCATACCTTCTACTACCGATATAAAGGTATATGCCATGGATGATAGGATCTATGCTGAATCCAGAAAATCACCCAGTGTTGATGGAATAGTAGAGAGGGATTCTAAAGGGAAGGAAAAACGAGAGGTTATCAAATTAACAGAACTAGAATGCAGCTATGGTAAGACGATTACTAAGGCTTTTAAACAATTAATTTGTGGGTTTGATGTAATCAGATACCAGGATACTTCTTATGTTATTGATGTAAATGGATGGAGTTTTGTTAAAGGGAATGAAATGTACTATGAGATGTGCTTTAAGGTTTTGGATAGGAAATTTAAAGAAGTGAGCGAGAGGAAGGATGAAGAGATGATGAAAGATAATACCACTACTTTTAACTATGAACCATCCTCATGTAATGACCCTAACCTTTTTTTATATTCCCATTACTGTAATTCCATCTCTACTTCACCTTACAGCACCTCGTCTAGAGAAATACCAAAGCTGATAGTAAAAATTTACAGACACGGGGACAGGACACCAAAACAAAAATTAAAAGTAAAGATGAGGGAAATCAGTGAGAGGGAAGAGGAAATAATAGTAAAAAATGACTTTGAGGGAGTTTTAAAGGAATTGAGGAATAGATATAATGAAGCAAAAATGGGATACAAAGTTAAGGGGATATAGGTAAGGTGGTCTGTAGTTTCAAAATCAATAAACTAAAGGAGCTGATAGGTGAGCTTGAACTTAGAAAGAATGAGAGAGGTACAAAGGTACAAATCAAAAAGGAAAGGAATCTAACACTCTATATTTTAAAGTGGGGTGGGATACTGACAGATACAGGGGTATCTCAGTGTATCAAGGAAGGAGAATCCTTTAGATATGAAATGGTTGATAGCGGTGTCGTGGAGAAATATCTTTACAATGATGACTCAGAAATTGTTAAAGAAAGGTGTGGTGTTTTGAATTTTGATACTTTTATAAAGATCTTTACTTCTCCTGAAGAGAGAGTGAGTGAATCATCCAGAATATTCTCAACTCATCTTTATAGGACAGAGGTATTTGAAGATAAGGACTTGTTAGATAACACCTTTCACGCTAATAAAGAGATAACTAAAGGGAGAGAAGTACTTAAAAAGCTCTTTGAAGAATATTTGGATAGAAATGAAGAGAAATACCTCATAAAGTGTATTTTAAGTATAGGAGAGGTATACTACAAGAGGGAAGTGAAAGATGAAGGGCTAATTAGGAAAGACATTAACACTCTTCCATCTATCTCCAATTCAATAATCCAAAGATGGCTTAGAATTAAAAGTAAGGTGTTGAAGGATAGAAGGATAGGATATAACAAAATATGTGAGGTGTATGACAATTTAAAGTATGATCTAACTCATAACAGTAAGGAGATAAGAGAAGTCATAAAGGAGGAGAGAATAAAGAAGTTTTATAAAATTATAAAGAAGTACTATCTTTTCATTATAAGAAATGAGTATGGAAGTACCTCTAGGGAGAAGAGAGAAATAGGAAGATCCATTTCTGGTGATATTTTAAGTAGAATTATAAGAAACATTAGAATTGATAATGGAATTAGAGTGTACTTTAGCAATGAAAGTAGGATCTATTCTCTGATGAACATTTTAGGATGTACTTTTAAGAACTTGAAATTTAGGGACTTTTTTATTGAAATGGGATATCTTTCAAGTCTCTCCTTTGTTATTTATGAGGAGAGGGTTATTTTGAGTGTAAATCCAGGATATGTTTATAAAAACGAAAAGGAAATAGATTGTGAGATTAAGAACTCTATTGGTAACACCAAGATGGTATTAAGCATAGAAAGAGAGGAGTTTATCAAAGGGTGTACTGAAATGAGGAGTTAGAAGGTTGGGAACAGTATTTCTAAATTTTTAAATTCAGCCCCATTCCAAAGAATGGAAGGGGAGTTAGGAAATGTAGAGATAGAATTTAAGTTGCTAGAGAAGTACAGGTGTAGTAAAGAGTGTAGTGCTATATTCAACATTTCCAAATATTTAGTACTGTTATATGACAATGTGGTAGAAATCACCGATTTATCCTGTAAGATACTCCAGAGATATCTCTTTAAGTGTTCCTTTCTTTACAGTTCGAGAGATGGTTCTTATCTTTGCATTACATTTAGAGATTTTTTAATTCTTTTTGATTTTAAGGAAGTTAAAATCTACAAAATTTTGATTAGTAGTAAATCCAGTACCGGTTTATTATCTTCTAAGGTGTATGGCGGTTCTTTGTATTTCTTACTCGAAAGTAAAGAAGTAAAGAGAGTAGAGGATATAAAGAGATACATTCCCACGGATAGTAATATTATAAATATTAACGAGTGTGATCTTGTTAATATTAACAATGCTTTGATTTATAGTATCTTTATAAAGTCGAATTACTTGGTTGCTGATCTTTTGGTTCTATCTTTCCTAGAGAGGAATGTAAAAGATGGTGATTTTACCATTTTTTGTGTTAGTCCCTTGAAGGAGTATCTGATAATAGAAAGTGACAAAATTAAAATATTGGAAAAGGTTGATGATGAGAGGGAGTATGTAGAAGTTTTTAGCACATTAAATTTTATAAGTGAAAGTGAGGTGGATAGGAAAAGAGGTATCTTGTAAGTGTGGTAGATGTTAGTTTTAAAAGTAAGGGTATGTCTAATGGTATTCTAATTATCATAGGATGTAGTACCAGTTCTGAGTTTATTTACATTTTGTATTTTAATGGAAGATATGTTCTCCATGAATTTGAGAATGAATCCAACGGTGTACACCTTAGGATTGGAGAGGATTGTTCTATAAAATATTTAAATGGAGTTGACTCTTTCCATGGAAAGAATTTGTATCTTTGTGATGAGGAGGGGTATGTTTTAAGGTATGGTATAGAAATAGAAAATGGGGAAGTAGGGAACAAGATTGAGTTTTGATAGAGGGAATAGATGTACTGGAAAAGGTAGATAAAGAAACGGAGAAGAGGGAACAGAAGAGGATAAGGAAAGAAGAGAAGAGAATATTAATGTAGTACCCACAAATATCGGTAATATCCCCCTATCCCCCGTAAATTATAATCTCCAGAGTGATGGTATCGTAGATAGAGGGGTAGATAATAAAGTTAACACTTTTAATGCGTCCATGAAGGATGAAAGTCTACTGAAACCTTTAAAAATCTTAAGTGGAATAGAAAGTGAAGTGATAGAGGTAATAGAAGGTATAAGAGAATTAGAAATAAAAGAGAATAGAAATATAAAGCTATTTAAATACAACAAGAATTTAGAGTTAAACAGATTAATATCTAAGGTTTATAAAGATATAATTAGATTAGAGAATGTGGGGTTATTAGAAGATAGAATGAACAATACTTTAAGGTATATGGGGAGTGTTATAGAGGAGATTGATGGTCTTAGTGAGAATAGTGATGATATTAAGAACACTATAGACTATTTCAACGATTGTATAAATGAAATGGAGGGGAAGATATTTCCAAGAAGGTATAGAGGAGGTGTGTTGGGTGGAGTATTCAAAGCAGGTAAAGTTGGTGTAAATTTAGAGATGAGTGAAGAAGATGAAAGGAAAGAAGAGAGTTGTGTAGAAGTGATAAATGGAGCGAGTGTAAGGGATGTGGAGATGGGAAATGAGGAGATAAGAAGAGAGGAAGAGATAGATTCGAAAAGAGAGGACATGGATTTAGGAAGTTTAAAAATCAAAAAGAGAGAAGTGAGGATGGGAAAGATAGTATCAGTGATTGCAAAGAGATATTACATCCTCTTGGTGTTACCACCACTTTAAACACCCCATCATTTACAAATCCTACACCTTTCACATTCCCAACACTACATCAACCAATCCTTTTACATTCCCCACTACTACTAATCCCTTTGTATTTCCAAATAACCCAAATTCCGCATCAAATAATCCACCAAGTAATGATACCACTACCGAGGTTAAAACAACACCTGGAAGTTCATTCTCTAAATTTGCCAGTGGGAATATTTTTAGAAGGTTTGGTGGTGGTGGTTAGATTGAAAATAAAAATTTAACGAGAATGTACCTTTTAAGTTGTTTATTTTTTTATCTTTTCACTTATCAGGTCTATGGCTTTCCTTTTCTGCACCTCTGATCCAAGGATTAGAAAGGTTCTTTCATTACTAAAAGATTCTTTAGGTAAGAGTGAGATTTTAACACCACATTTGGATTGAATATTGGCTAGAACAACTCCATTTTTACCTATTACCTTTGAAAATTTATTTAAAGGTATTGAAAGATAAGAGGGTATTCCACTATCTCTGAGAGATGGTGGTAGATCACCTACGATGTTACTCATAGAATTGACACTCCTTAATATATTTGATCTATCCCCTGTAACATGTATTTTTACAACATTCTTATCGTAAAATGATCTGTCATTCTCTATCCTTACACTGTTCTCCTCTTCCATTTTATCTATCACTTTACTAAGCAAAAAAACTTTGATTTTGGAACATAAAGAATTGAAGTGAAGGATTGCGTATTATTTGGAGATTTGATATCCTTTTGTGTATTTTTGATGTACAATCTATAAGTTGACTTTAATTTATCAATTAACTCTTCTTTTGTTATCCTCTCTTTAGATGGTTCTTGTGGTATCTCCTCTCCCATCAAAGGGGAGAAGGAGGAAGGATGAGTAGAAGATCACCAGGAACAGGGTAAAGGTAAAATTATTTATTTTTCTTAGCTTGCTTCTTAAGGTTCCTCCTTATAGACCCAAAAACCTTCTTTTGCTTTGTTCTTGCCTCTCTCCTGGCCTTTCTTATCACCTTCTTTATCTCCTTACCACTCTTCCTAGCTACAACAAACTCTCTCTCAATTTTCTCAAGTTGATCAAAATTTTCATAAACCTTAGCTCTAGCCACGGTATGATGTGCTCCAAATCTTGTAGAGCAGGAGTGGATGATAACATTCTTTGGATCAGACTTTTGAGTACTAGAAATCTTAGCAGTTATGTCTGATTTAGAAGGTGTGGCAATATTAGGGTGCTTTATGACAAGCTCTAACTCCTTTCTACACAGTAACTTGTTATCAGCCATTTTTACTATCTCAACAGTGAAGCTCTTTAAATGAGGAGATCCTTGTCTTTTTTTTACTTACCATTTTTTAGGGTTGGTTTTCTATCCGAAATATCACTAAAAATTTTTAGTGGGGTAGAGTGTGTTATGGTTAATGCTTTGTAGTGTAATGTAATAAAATGGTTGTTAAGAAATATAAATAAAAGGTAGTTAAACCCTACTTTATTGATAGGTCACTCTTCTTCAAGAGATGAAGATTCGTCCTTCAATTTAAAGATCGAACTTCTTGGCAAATTTCTTCTCATCTATACCAACTTCCATTTCCTTTACCGCATCGCTCAATCCTCTACCTTTCATTGTCACTATGCCATTCTGCATTTTTGAGGAGTATCTAAAGGACTTGATGACCTCTACCACGGCTTTAGCATCCTTCTTCGATGAAATTTCAGGAAATCCAATTTTAGTTGCTAAGAACGTACCCATTTTCATCTCTGAATTCTTTATTCCATCAGTGATCTTCTTCTTAATATCATTTTGGTTTACTTTGAGCTCGCCTTCCTCCTTACCCAACCCATGATCCCGTTCAATATCTACTATGATCTTGTTTTCCATTTTACTTGCCAACTTTTTT